GGACGCTGCCGACTGATGTGGCAAGAGTTCGTTCTGCTGATTGCTGGGCACGGAGCTGGAATAGCTGCTACCCTCTGCAGGTAGGTGGAGCAGAGTTGTAGCAGCTGGAGCCTGTTGAGACCAATGCTGGAGCAGCTAGAGCCTACAGGGACTGGGCTGGAGCAGCTGGAACATAAAGGGACTGGAGCTGGTGAAGCTACCGCCCTCTGGAGCGGGAGCGCGGCTGGGACTGAGACTGGGGCTGGAACGGAACTGGAGCAGCTGTCACCCGCGACGACCAGAGCTGGGGCAGCTGCCGGCGGCGGGGTCCGGAGCTGCGGCCGCCCGCTGGAGCGGCAGCGGAGGCGGAGCGGGCGGCGGCGTCCATCTCGCCGGCCGGGCGGTGACGGCAGCCGCGTGTGAACCGGGCGGCGTGGCGGTCACACGTCACGGCAGCCGTCACGGCACGACGACCGGTCGGTGACGGGCGCCTGAAGAACGACGCCGGCGGCGGGTGGCCACACCCAGGCCGCCGGACAGACGAGGCTCGCCTCACGTCAAGGCCAGCGTATTTCTGGCGCGGGGCTGTGACCGGGATAGAAAGGGGACTGCCAGGGCCGGCGCCGGTGGGAAGGTACTCTTTCTGCAACCGCACGAAGTGATGGGGTTTGTTTTGGTGAAGGGCAGCTGATGATTTTTGTCACTTCAACTCGTCCGTAAAATGACTTACCTGGGGAGTAGGACGACAATGCGCTCGAGACTCACAGGATAAAAATGTCTACATCTGCAATACATATTATGCAAAGCTTACTTAGATAAGTTAATGTTTCTAAATGACGGTAGATTAAAAGGAAGCAGATGCAAAATCTGGCAATAAAAATAACCCAAATGATGCACTGATTTTATCTGCCCTTAACGTTAAAGAGGCAAGTCACACGACAGATGCAGTCATCCAAAATATTCACCGAACCATAGAGATTGGTGTCATTTAACGTTTATACCTTGTTGTCACACAGGAACCCCTTTCTGGCGCTCTTTTTTTGGTAGGATGCATATATTACCCGCATGGCCGCTTTACTGACAACCCTTACGCATGCGTCGTGTATTATTTCACGCACCACTTGGCCGAAGGCACTCTTTGGGTCATCGAGGCTCTGTGGACTCTTCCTGCAGACTATCCCTGCCTGTAAACTTTTCCTGTAGGCTCGAGATTTAAGGAACTCCGTTTTATCAAAATTAAGGGCAATTAGATCCAGAAAATGAGCCGGTTACGTGCTATCCGTCTTTCGTCTGATAATGTACGTTGCGAGGTGGTCCTCCAAGCCAGGCAGGGCAACCTTGACGCGTGGGGAGTCGACCGTCATGCCGGAGCCAGATATTCTTCCCTTCGCCATCAGGATTTCGTTCCAGCTGCCCCGAGAAGTTCCACAGCATGCCGACGTGCGCTAGCTGTTGGAGCAGGCCGTTTGCGCTGTTTGCGTGCTAGCCTTTATTCTAGCAAAGGCGTTATGGGACTGAGCGAGATCTGTGTGAAGTTTCCTAACAGGACCATATTTGAAAATCACCAACTCAAGTGGCATCAGCCACGTCTATGACAGTGTTCCGGAGGCGGGACTGCTATTGAAATGTGCAGTAGCGCTAGCATAAGAGCTGGTGGGCAAACGTCGGAAATATGGAGCGTGACGCCATCGCGGCAACAAACGTCGCTGGTAGGCACGGAAATATGGAGCGTCACGCCATCGCGGCAACAAACGACGCTGGTAGGCACGGAAATATGGAGCGTCACGCCATCGCGGCAACAAACGTCGCTGGTAAGCACGGAAATATGGAGCGTCACGCCATCGCGGCAACAAACGTCGCTGGTAGGCAAATGTCGTAAATATGGAGCGTCACGCCATCGCGGCAACAAACGTCGCTGGTAGGCACGGAAATATGGAGCGTCACGCCATCGCGGCAACAAGCGTCGCCGGTAGGCAAACGTCAGAAACATGGAGCGTCACACCATCGCGGCAACAAGCGTCGCTGGTAGGCAAACGTCGGAAATATGGAAAGTCACGCTGTCGCGGCAACAAGCGTCGCTGGTAGGCAAACGTCAGAAACATGGAGCGTCACGCCATCGCGGCGTCGCTGGTCTTCGTCGATGCCTCATCGTATTTCAGTTCATCTTCGGCAACAAACCGTACCGTAATCGCAAGAACCAGCGCACACTCGTGCAACGCGACGGTTTCGTTTACCCTCCGGAGTCGCTACAAATATCTTGTAATATGTCTTGTAAGTTGCTCAGATATCTTGTAAGTCGCTCACTCAAATATCTGGTATGTCGCTCACTCAAATATCTTGGACTGGCTTACTTGCTCATCTCAGCATTACAGCTCTGACGGGCAAAAGTTCTTTGCCACCGAGGATGCTACGGATGAGGCGGAGCTCGCTAGATTTTAAAGTTTGGATAAGGAAAGCTTGAGGAATTTTGAGCGAAACATGATGCGTTTTTGACGTCTTTTCAAAAGAGCAGTTTCCGGATTTATTGACTGAAAACAGACATTTTCAGATCAGTAACTACAGTTTGCATTTCTAATTTCCTCCATTTGACATCTTGTTTGTGTGCGATGTGCAGTGCGACAACTCACTTTAATTTCAGTCCGTCTCCAATATGGTCGAAATGCATCGGAATTGCAGTGACATCACGTGGTCGCTGTAGGTTATCGATCTCTGCACAGCGAATTGGATCCATCCTCCTCTTAGCGCGGACGCTGTAAACGGTGGAGCTGTGCCGTGGGCGCCAAGCTAGCGCGATGATGACCCCATCGCTTGTCACGATCATTCAGCATCCACCCACCACATTTACTCGCTCTCTCTCTCTCTCTCTCTCTCTCTCTCTCTCTCTCTCTCTCTCTCTCTCTCTCTCTCTCTCTCTCTCTCTCTCTCTCTCTCTCTCTCTCTCTCTCTCTCTCTCTCTCTCTCTCTCTCTCTCTCTCTCTCTCTCTCTCTCTCTCTCTCTCTCTCTCTCTCTCTCTCTCTCCTCTCTCTCTCGGCGGAATATGTTGTCGTCGGCATTATCATCATTTTCGAACCGTCTATGATTGAAGCCAAGTTCGGTAATCGAAGTAGATTTAATGTTACGTGGCTTCAAATGCTAGACGTGTACCAGTTTGGTAATACAGTGGGCTAGTTGATGTGCGCGACTGCTATAGGCTGCCGAGGAAGCCCCCGGCCAACAGCCACAAGGCGGGTTGCAGGCTGCAACGCAATACTTACTTCAGGCATGTTAAACACGATTAGCTTGCTTTAATGGTGGTCATACGCATACTCCCCGCTTTCTCCCTACAACTCGCGCTTTCTCCTGGTCTGCCGTGAGCCACATTCCGAGATTCGCTACCACGGCTGCTCAGCTCGCGGCAGACTCCCCCGACCCGGCTGCAGACGCCCGCGCGTGGCTATCCTGCTGCCGTTCCCGTTGCCCTCCCCAGCTGCCCGTGCCCCCGGGTCAGCGGTCCGGCCCCGGGGACCGACCAGCCGTGCCTGGTGACCGAAGCCCCAGAGACGATAAGGCGGCGCTCGGCGCCAGCCTCACGGTCGCCGGCTATTTCCGGCGACATTGCCGGCGCGCGGGCGACAGAGGCGGCGCGCCGTCCGCATACGCCCTGGTCCTGGTCAGCCATCAGCTATTCATGGGGCGGGTGCACAGGTGGCGCGGCCGCTGCCGTGATCCCCTCCGGCTCCGCCGGCTCTGGGCCGCCGCGGCAGGCCAGGGCGGGGAGGGGGCGTCACGGGCGCGGCGGAGGGCGCCAAGTAAAGGGCGATCCTGGTGGGAACTCCCCGGCCGGCCTCGACGACGCCCTGGACCGCACCAGCCGAGCTGCCGGGGCGGGTAGATGGCTGGGGAGCTGGTTCGCCACTGTGTCTTGCGGTTAACGATAGATGGCATACGATTAATCAGAAAACAGCGCGGTTGAATCATTCGGCACGGCTGCCGTCTCGTCTGCTTTAAAGGGGCAGGACCCATCAACTTTTTGTGTGAAACACGCACAAGTGGCAGTATGACCTTATTAAATGTCTTCTTACAACGTGTTGATTTCTTACCCTACAGGATTTCTGCAACGTAGCTTATTCTATGAATATACATCATAGATTATCAGTTGGAAGGGATTTTGAAGCACGACGGAAGTGTTTCAAACGCACGCATGAACGTTGCACAAGATTGTCCGGGCATATGCGCAAGGACTGACGGCAGGATGAAGTACTGTGACATTAGCGTCTCTACCTGTAGCGTAAACTTAGCGGCGTCCAAATATTGCACGACAACGAGGATCATGGAACATCAAACAATGGCGGGTGCCAAAGTTGCTCTGGTTACCGTCCTCGTCTGGTGTGTTAGTACGTATACGGCGTTTCGGTCAGATCATTGCCCGGCCGTTGTCCACATGTGGCGGAGTTCTGAGGAGGACGGGATCTGTTCGGCCATGTGCGCGTCACATCACACATGGTATTTGAACCGGTGTCCTGATTATAATTACAGCGCTATAGTAACTGAGCTAACTAGGAAATACTAGGAACTAGGGATGAACAGACATCCTATCACTTTGGCCGCATACGGCCCTAGGCTTTGAACGCTACTTCAGTGGGTCTCCAGCAAATTACGATTGGCCCTAACACGCGCCAAAATCGGGGATGCTATGGAGCACACAGCTGTGTCCGTCGACTTTTGTAAGCTATGCTCTACCAAAAGCCCACATGAAATCTCAGAACCTGAAGCCACCTTGGTTCCTGGTTCTAGCGCCCCTGACACGCCCTGATCCCTGATCCCGTCTTTCCCTCAAGCGCCTTTTCCTGCCTCCTCTGCAACGGCACCCTGACTTCAGAGCCACCGATCCTGAAGCCCCTTACACCGCCGACCTGACGCTTCTGAACCTAACGTCCGAACCATGAACCGCCCGTCCGCCTCTGACCCTGACATCGCTGACGTCCCTGATGCTGACACCCTGACCCCGACCCTAATGACATATTGTCGTTCCGCCGCACAGGGCCCAAGGGTGTGACGACCGACCGTAACGGCAACCTGCTGGTGGTGGACAACCGGGGCTCGGCTGTAGTGACGTTCTCGCCGGGCGGCCGGCTGCTGGCGCGGTTCGGCAGCCGCGGCACCGGCCAGCATCAGTTCGCCGGACCTCACTACGTCGCGGTCGACAGCCAGCAGCGGGCCGTCGTCACCGACTTCCACAACCACTCGGTCAAGGTAGGGCGGCGGCGGCGGTGGTGGTAGTAGCGGTGGCGGTAGTAGCGGTGGCGGCGGTGGCGACAGAGCCGGGCTCGTCATCGACTTCCACAACCACTCGGTCAAGGTAGGGCGGCGGCGGCGGTGGTGGTAGTAGCGGTGGCGGCGGTGGTGATGGCGGCGGTGGCGACAGAGCCTTGATGGCGGCGGTGGTGATGGCGGCGGTGGCGACAGAGCCGGGCTCGTCACCAACTTTCACAGCCGCTCGGTCGAGATGCGGTGGCGGCAGCAGCGACTGCGGAGCTGTGCCAGCGAACTCGTCGGCGTGTGGCCTGCCCGGGCCCTGGCGCGCTGCTCGTCGCGCGTGCTGTATGTGGGCGAGGAGGCCACAGGCATGGCCCACGTGGCGGCAGCTGACTGTTGATAGGGCTGAGGACACATCACATTGGCCCACAAATATATATATATATATATATATATATATATATATATATATATATATATATATATATATATATATGACCGATACCTTGCAATACATTTAACCATCATGAGTCCGAGCATCCAGCTAGGTTTCCGCAGGTGTGCCAGACGAAAACTGGTACGTTCCGTGTAATATGTGTCCGCGCGCTGTGCGTAACGCGGGCCTGTCCCCACTGTAGCCAGGTTCTGACTCCCCGCGCTCTTACAGGTGTTCAGTGCGGACGGTAAGCACCTGTTCAGTTTTGGAGGGAACGGTGAGGCGGCCGGGCAGTTTAACGCGCCCACCGGCGTCACGACAGACCGGTACGACAACATCCTAGTGGCCGACTGGGGCAACAGCCGGGTCCAGGTGAGGTAGCCCGCCCTCCGCTGGGCGTCGCGGGAGGGACTGGGGCAGCAGTCGGGTCCAGGGGAAGCAGCCTGCCGCCCAGCTCTCCGACCCGCTCCGCCGCTGAGGATCACGGGAGGGACCGGGGCAGCAGTTGAGTCCAGGGGAAGCAGCCTGCCGCCCAGCTCTCCGACCCGCTCCGCCGCTGAGGATCACGGGAGGGACTGGGGCAGCAGTCGGGTCGAGGGGAAGCAGCCTGCCGCCCAGCTCTCCGACCCGCTCCGCCGCTGAGGATCACGGGAGGGACTGGGGCAGCAGTTGAGTCCAGGGGAAGCAGCCTGCCGCCCAGCTCTTCCGACCCGCTCCGCCGCTGGGGATCATGGGAGTGGCCACGGTACCTCGGGGACCTTTTGTCTGAGGTCTTTGGAGATCGGACCTAAACCGGCGTGGCACAGGTGATGGCGTGGGGTGGGCTTCAAGAGTTCGTTCTACGTTTGTGGAAGAGTATCTCTCACGAACTCGCGGCCGGGGGCAGGGAAGGAAAACTCTCCGGCAGGCTAGTTGACAGTTTACTTAGCTGTCGGACCCATATACAGATCGTCCTACCTAGCGTTTGCAGGTTCACACACTGCAAGCATGGACAGTTAAGCGATGACAACACAGGTTCGTGTCATGCTTCACTGTTTTAGCTAATCGTGACAAATGACAGGCTCGCCAGAGTGAGGGTTCAAAATTGAACGCGACGCCCACCATAGCTGAATGGCTGTTCAATCGGTCGGATGCGATAAGCAAACAAATAATTTTACGATGCGTTAAGTAATGACTTCCGGAGCTCCGACACCGGAGCTCACTAGCTCTCTCAGTGTGGCGACAAGTCGTGATTTTGGTCGGCTGCCTTGGACGTGGGGGAGAGGCGAGGGGGGCTGAAGATTCTCGGGAAAACTGACCCGGATCGGGCCTGACTACAATTGGGGTGCCGATGACCTAGGCGCATAAGAAGACTGGGGCAGTGATAGCTTACCTGGCTCACTTTCACAGCCACCTGTTTTCAAAAGTATTCTTTGTTTGGTGGATGTTTGTTCCTAAACCCTGTAGACTGAATTCACAAGCATCCACGAACATACGGACATTATGAGGGTGTTTGCTTTTAGAAATTACACTTACTTGATATCAGCAAAGAAGGCCCTGAACTCCTGCTTTTCGGCACTATGAGTTAGAAGTTTTCAAGCGTGCAATAACTGACCTTCACTATGCCTGGATTTACTTACTGAACAACTTTATCGGGGAAGTATTGATTAACTTGATAATTTTATTCAGCGTTGTGTTGAGTTTGTTCAGCATTACCGATGCGTTCTTTAACCAGTTCGGCTTGTTCTGCTACAACGACAAATGAAGGTCGCTAACCTATGGCATTAAGAACCCCCCAACTCTTTATATTACACATTTGCGGAGATATTTACAGCACATTTTCAGAAAACAAGCTTTCTATTCTTGCGGCAGATGAAAATACATATTATGTGTTTCGAGACGGGTTAAAAATGGACAAACCATCTCCTATATAAGTTTTGCTGCTGTCTGGCTGTGAGTGTATATATGTGAGTATATAATGTGACCCATGTCCCATCTACGGTGTCCCAATGACCACCCTGTGACTGGTCCGACATGTGACCCATCAACACGGCCGCCAACCGCAGGTGTTCGACAACACGGGTCGCTACCTCTCGACAGTGGACTCGAGCGCCACGCCACTCTACGGGCCGCAGGGGCTGGCCATGTCCCCGGAAGGACACGTCATCGTCGCTGACACCGGCAACCACGCCATCAAGATGTACGCCTACCACCCGCTGGGCGGGTAGCGCCGCTGCCGGCTGCCTGCGTCGAGGCGCTGCGGGGAAGAGCGTCGGCCCGCTCAGACCGGCTCTAAACCGGCTGGTGAGGGCCGCCGTCCCGAGGAAGCCCGACGGAGGGGAGAGTGGGGGGGAGGGGAGATGGGAGGAGGGGAGGGGAGAGCGGGCGGCGCTGATCACCGTGTTCTGTCGTAATGCCTGGTTACTGCTGCACTCGGTCTGTCGTAATGGTTGCGTACTGCTGTGCTCAGCCTGTGGTGCGGAGGCTGGGCTCGCCGACGCTGTGCTCCACACTGTGGCGTGCCGTTGTGCGGCACTCGGTTCGTGACAGGAATCATGCTGTTCAGTGTTCCTGTACGCTGGCGTTTTTGTGTAAAAGCATTGAGCTGTTTAATGGTAACTCAATTTTCTGTCATGGATGCCAATGCCATCTACTTAGTTTTAATTCGTTCACTATGGAACCTTCAAAACAAGTGGTGTGCATCTGAGCAATCATAATCGAGGTAAAACACTCTGTAAGAGTCCTGGTGAGTGCTAACTTAAAAACCCTTTGGTGGTAAGTGGTAAGTTAAATACCTTTCCGTGCAAAGTGGTAATTCTAACGACGTTTTCGTGGTTTACTGCCAGAGCTCTTTTCATTAACCCAGCAGCCCAAAGTCTCCGGATTGGAACATGTCAGACGCTGAAAAACGCGTGTTCTGGGTATCACAGATGGTGTTTGGTTGAAAAAACAGCCTGATGTAATTGTTTATTTAGAAGTCGATATCCAATAGATGTTGTTACTATTTTGGTGGCGCTCTAATTACATTGTTGGAGCAAACATCTCATGCCTGCGGCGACCCCAAATCACGAATACCTCTCTCTATCTAACCTGAAGGCTCCACGGGATTTAGTAACTATATTATAACCATCAGACGGGTGCCAGGCGGTTAGCCGGGTACCTTTGCCTTCACGAGCTTCAGTCGCCGTCCACCACGGTCTCTGTCGCGCCTCTGGCGGCCGTCCTCGTCTCAAGCTGGGGGGATCGTCTCGGGGGTGGTCCAATGACCCGTGTGTTTGGAGACCAGCCCCCGTTATGTGCCTTGCATGCGCCCAGCTGGGGCCGCTGTAGGTCTGGTTCCTGGGCCGCTGCACCGGCCCTGAGGTTGCTCCTGAGGCTGCTCCTGGGGCTGCTCCTGGGGTCGCTTCTGGTGCCGCTTCTGGGGCTGCTCCTGCAGTTGCTCCTGGGGCTGCTCCTGGGGCTGCTCCTGGGGCTGCTCCTGACGCTGCTCCTGGGGCTGATCCTGAGGCTGATGCCGGGGCCGCTGCACGCTGCCCGCGCCTGCTCTGTCCTGGTGTTTGTATTCGGAACCGCGCCCGCTGGGGAACCACCGAACTGCTGAGCTGCCAAACAGCGCGTTGGTTTTGGGCTTGGATGCTCGCTTGTCTCTGCTCCATATGTAGCTTACTTATGTTATGCAGTGCCAGGCTCTACGATAACTTATTGGCTTCATGTTGTCACCGCTGTTTACGTTTGCTCATGATTATACACAAGCTGTTGTGCGTCTTATTGACCTCCGATACCAGGTCACCAGCCGCCGGTCACACTGTTAATGTCTATTTACAACTTACGAGGGGTCGTTGTTCCGTTTCGGTTAGTGTTTTCCTGAGCGCTATGCACAGCTGCCGTTGTGGGTCGATGGTGCGTGTGCCCAAGCGGAGCCCGCCGTGATCCAACCGTGCGCTGGCTGCCGGCGCTGACCACATTCTGTGATGTGCGCGGGCGGATCTGCTCGGGGAAGCAGTGATGCTGGTGCCTGCGCTGCCTGGACAGAGATGGGGCGCTCGCGCACGACGTGGCTGTCCCCTGTCGATTGGAAAACTCCCGCCCGTCCCGCGGTTCGAACATGCTCGGCCAGCGCACTGTGCTCGCCCGCGGTCGGGCGTGCCGCGTCACAAGCACGGATAGCGAGCAATGCTTAGTTTGGAATGGTGTGGCGCTGTGACGTGCAGACGAAGTGAAACTCCACGCTTGCTTTCGATACAATAAATGCCATGCAGAAGTGGTGGACGTGTACGTGCGCTGTTCAAGGAGTGTTGATGTAAGATCGATAAGATAAGACAGTAGTAACCCAAATACGAGCCCACGACAGGCATAACGTGCCTTCGTCTGGAGCTGGAGGAGCCTCGCTGACGTACTGACACCATGTAGTGTTGTAGTGCAAATGTAGTGACACACTGACACCGTGAGTGTGTTATTCCGAGCTGTGGAACACTCGCAGGGAGATATCAGGATGTATGGATTGTAGATTTTGTCCAGTCCTAAGGCTTCTACATTGATAACATTTTCTAATTTCCGAGAGTACATCTTTCCGTGCACACTCTTTTCGCCAGACGCACAGTACAGACGGCTGCACAGATCGCCCTGAAATTTTTGCACGAGAGTTCGACCTATATACCAATCCACGGTAGAAATTACGGCCGTCCAATGCCGGTATTGATAAACGCGTATGCAAAAATTCGCGATAAAAGGGGTCGTAACCTTTCTCTGAAAGTCCAGTTTAGCGTGCCACTGGCTTAGATTGTCTTATGGTGTTTAACCACATCACACGTTTTCGACCTGTTGAACTTACCTGTCTCACAGGTGTTAAATATATAAATTTCACGGCGATCCGTGCGACCGTGTAGTGCCGTGCGTCTGGCTAAGAATATGCGCATGTCAGCATAAGCACTCTGAATGCCGATAGAACAAACATTAGGTTTCCCACGTATGAAGACAGGCTTTCTTTGAGAGCAGCGATGCTAGTGATCCACGAATTCTGAAAGGCTCACAGGTGCTAGATGGCAACCATTTGGCGCCATGCATACACGGATCATATATGACGTCACGGGTACCGGCACTATCGGCGCCAACAACGAGGGCGCTTCGCGGAGTGAAGCAACCAGGTGACTATCTCACCAAATTCGGAGCTCCTACAGTTCTTTTAACTTCGCCTTTGAGCACAGTACTTTAGACAGACGCATGACGCGGGCAGTAGCATGGGCTACCGTGAACTTTGTGCATGTGCAACGTGTCAAACAGTTCTAACTATCCCACTGCACACCAGTTCGATACCGGTGTTGGTCGTGACTCGGCCGAGATGGCGGCATGGTTTAGTAAATGTTAGGGAGATACTTTTCGCAAACCTTAAGTAAGCCAGCTTGACGAGCGCCAAGCCGTTACAGTTGTAGCTTGTTGTAGCTTCAGCAGTGATAAATTGAGGATTATTATTCGCTGGGAACTCTGGATTCACGTATAAGAAACGAAATTAATATCTTAGATATCCTGTGACAAAGTCCGTTTTTCGGCCTCTTTCGGTTCATTTACCGCTCTAGCCGGCCGTCGTCCATCAGCCAGACGTAACGGCCTCGCTGGCCGGGTGTCCCCGTTGCCGACCGGGTCGCGTCATAAGCCTGGCCGGGTGGGTTATGGGCGGTTACTAGAATTGACCCTTTCAAGCCAAGGTCTGTGAAACAGATCATTTAGACGAAGCCATCGTCCCGTCGTAAGCTGAAACATTGTCCCGTTTGGTTCATTACCAGCACGCCATCGGTAATGTGATTCGATGCTTCCTTTTTAAAGATAATTATCAGTGACTACCCAAGCAGCCCTTACTAAATATGGCATTCGACGAAAATCTCATGAGATCATTCCTTCTTATTTGTCTGGCAGAACTCAATGTGTAAAAATTAGGAATTATCTATCAGTAATGAAAACCGTAACAATGGGGTATCGCAAAGATCAGTTCTCGGCCGAATTCTCTTCTTAATGTACATAAATGACTTGCCTAAATTAAACAGCAACATGATTTGCCTGCCTTACGCTGATGATGCTGTGATTATTTTCAGAAACGAAAGTATTGTTCAACTTCAAAACAATGTCAAGACGCTTTTGCTCCTAATGACTTCCTCGTTTACTACTAATTTTCTTTCCCTGAACGTATCAAAAACATTTACACATCATTACACTACCCTTTCTTCGCGTTTCCAACTAAATGTGCGATTTGATAATTCACCTATTGAAGAAAAAAAGAAACAAACTACTTTGGTGTACTCATTGACAAATCTCTTAAACTTACAGGCCACATTAATTTTGTTGCAAGCATAGTAAGTAGAAATATTACTAATAGATAGGTTTAGGAACTTTATTGATAAAACAGCGTCACATCTGCTCTATAACACATTGATCCTTTCTTATTCAAATTACTGCTACTTGATTTGGGGTATAAATTATGCTTCTCAACTAAATCGGTTAGCAATTTTGCAAAAAAGGCCTGTGCGTCTTATAGAAAATGTGTATCCTCCACATAGCTCAGAGCCAATTTTTAAATGATGCAAAATTTTGAAACTATACGATATCGCTAAATCCCAAATGTTAATTGTGATGCATAAATTTGTATTTTCACAGCTCCCTGCGTCATTTGATTTAATATACAAGCTTTACGAATCAAATGACATGGATATGAGGCGAGTAAAGCATTTAGACCAACCTTTCTCTAATCGTAATTATACACCATTTACAACATCTTGCCTTAACCCTAAGCTGTGGAACGACATTATGGTTTCATATTTTCCAAGAATAACTGATATCTTCGTATCAAAAACCATCGTTAAGAACATCATCCGCAAGCATTTCGTGAATACATATTAACGTAACCAACATATTTGAAGATATTGCAATCCTTTGCGCTGCACATGTCCAACGCACTTCATATTTAACCTCCTTCAAGTTTCATAATCACGTTCTGATGTAGTTAAAGTCATGCACATGTACCCAAATTCACGGCGCTGGCTCCGGGAGTTCTCCCAGCAACAAGCTCCACTTAGCTGGGTAGACTCCCTGGACATCCAGCCCAAAACCCAGGACGAAAATGACCAGGTTATTGCCTCCTCCGACTTGTGTGACTGTACAACCCTTACTAACACGGTGAATTGAGTGGTTGTAGCTTATTGGGCGGTTATAGCGGGATGCCATTAGCTGACTTTGGCTAATGACTACCTTAAGCCTTCTCATATGTGACTTTTCCTTGCATAGTACATAACAATTCCTTCGGGTCTGCACCACCTCTTTGCTTGCTTCTTTACGTTTGTTTCATCT